GAGGTTGAGTCTTCAAGTTTGTCTATGCTTATACAGTGGGCTCTTATATTACTATGTATAGATAGTAGCCATAGTACTGTGTTTGAACATCATTTTACAAAGTGAAAGTCTTTAACATGAGCTTGAGCAGGAATAACAGACGGTTTGTGGTGTAACGGAAAACTGACAGTCAATAATGGGGAGACACATGAGTGCTCCCACATGAACAATTTTAAAATGATGGGACTAACTATAATATTTTAATTTTTTATTTTTTTTTAATTGTGTTTAGTTTGGCCCATCATTTTAGAAAATGCTTAATATACAGAGAACTTGCATCAGCTGTACTACATAACTTTAAACTTTTTAATAGGCGCCGTATAACTTGGTACAGCCTTTAAGTGGTTCCAGCAGGGACATGATGGCGACTCCTCCCTCGTGCTCGCTCCCTGGAACAGAGCTGCTGGAGCGGGTCCTGGAGAGGCCTGCTCTGGTGGTGGTGGAGGAGCCCAAAGACCGGGGCATGAGGTTCCGCTATGAGTGTGAGGGCCGGTCAGCTGGGAGCATCCTGGGAGCGTCCAGCACAGAGTCCAGCAAGACTCAGCCTGCTATAGAGGTACACCCACAATGGTTTATATGGGTGTTGATACAAGTGTGATAAAAAAGCAGAAATCACTCCTGAAAGAGATAAACTACACATAATTATGAACTTTTACTCATGTTACAATGTTCTAATTTCCTCTCAGCATTAGTTGTATTTTTCATGTCTGTTTCAGTGGTAATACATTTTTGTGCACTTGCGGCTTGCCTTAACAATTTCATTTTGCATGTCCCCACCTACAGCTCTGTACTAGAGATTCTAGCCATTTTGAACACAAGTCAATGGATTGTTTCTATTAAGTCATTTTAGGTCAATATTGCTGTTGACAAATTATGTGATAGTTTATTACTAAATACCATAAAAAACATCATGTCTTCTTCAAGTATATTTACAATTTTATTTTTGAAATAGTGTTAAGTATTCATGAAAAACATCATAATTGAAAAATTTTAAATCACAAACAATCATAGGTCATTATTTTATACAAACAGATGTATCACACATACATGTAATGTTTGCACTAAGAAAATATACATCAGATTACAATTTTTTAAATATTTTGTCATATTGTTATATTTTCAAGCTCACTTGTTTGCTTTTGTTTAGATTCAGGGTCCTATTGATCACATCAAGAAGGTGAAGATTACAGTTTCTCTGGTGACCAAAGACATCCCACACCGGCCCCACCCACACTGCCTTGTCGGGAAAGATTGTCCTCCTGGTTCAGGGATCTGCGTAGTTACATTTAATCCTCATGTCAACCGCAGACACAGGTAAACAACCTTCTAACCAACTGACTTTCTGCACAATGATTTTTTTATGTTTTCTGTTCTCTAATCAAACTTAATATTTTCAGTTTTGCCAACCTTGGTATTCAATGTGTGAGGAGGAAAGAGTTGGAGGCGTCACTCCAAAAGCGGAGAAGTCAGAATATTGACCCATTTCAAAGTAATTGTTCTCAGTATTTGATCTATTCTAAGTGTAGCTAACACTTTCAAAGTATTCATGCATTTTTTTTTTTTATTCTTAGCTGACTATTCGAGGGGTATTGAAGACATAGACATGAATGCAGTGCGCCTATGCTTTCAATGTGAGCTGGAGTGGGAGGATGGCAAAAAGGACTGCCTCAAGCCAGTTGTGTCAAAGCCCATCTATGACAAAAGTAATAATTGAATATGAAGCCCTGTTTTTGTGCATTTTATCTTTACATCTTTGCTCTTTGTATTTGTGCATATTACAGAGGCTACAACCACATCCCAACTAAAGATCACAAGATTAAACCTGGACCGAGGGCCCTGCACTGGCAAGACAGAGGTCTACATGTTGTGTGACAAAGTACAGAAAGGTAAAATATTATAAATATCGGTGTGAAAGGGCCCATTTTCTGACCTATGGTATAATGTTGTTTCCTTGTCACAAATATATCTGGAGTTGTGTGTTGTTTCATTAACACATGTTAAACACACAAACCCTGCATATTTAGATTGAGTTCTCAGTTCCATCTTGTGATGTTGCGTAGTAATACAGGAAGTGCTCCATTTAATTCCATACCTCTTCACTAGAATAATTTGGATCATTTCAGCCCTGAAATTTCCAGTCTCTACTAACCTAAGGTAAAAGTAGCTGTTAACTTCAAAACTACTCCTTCATGACTAATAAAGGTTTACTCAAGCATGTGCAGATGAATTCTATCACACACACACACACGCGCTACCAGTTTGTCTCCTCTATAGTGTTATTGCTTCCTGGGAATCTTCCACAGTATAGATTTAACTTATCTATCTTATGTTTTTGTATTTCTCATAAATATCTTGCTGTGAACGGGGTTTTTCATAGATCTGACCTGCAACTACTTAGTCTGGTGGTGTCATCTGCTTGTCTCCATGGACAACGACAAGTTAAATGCCATACTGTGGAACGTTTTGGGTAGAATTTCATGGAGAATAGCTGCAGGTGTAGTGTCTACCAGTCTACTTGTCTACCAGGAAAGGACAGGTGTGTAATAATACATGCTGTAGTGCAGTAACATTCCTCTCTGTGATTGCCTTGCACAGATGACATTGAGATAGTTTTCCGGCGAGACTCCTGGAAAGCAAATGGAGAGTTTGCCCAAACAGACGTCCATCGGCAGGTGGGCATCGTGTTTAAGACACCTCCATATCAAGACCAGAACATCACAGAGGAGGTGGAGGTCAGTTTGTGTCTGCGCCGCATCTCTGACCAGATGGAAAGTGAACCGGTAACTTTCATATACAGTCCCCGCAACCCAGGTTAGACACACTCTCATTATAGTCCACTAAAACACTGAAGCTATTCTTAGCATTTATAAAAATAATCACTGTGCAATTCTGTTCCAGATCCTTATGAGGTTAAACGCAAAAGAAAGATTAAGTCAGACATGAGTTTCACAGAAAGAGCGTGTACATCAGGTAGAGTTGCAGAAAACCTTTGTTTTATGTTTTTACTACACCTTGCTTTTTGTTTTGCTTTTAACAGCTTAAAGCCGTTCATAATGGGGTAACCAGTTATTTGTTCCCATTCTAGAGAAGAACGCCTCTACTACAGACCCCTTCCAGATTTCACCAAACCCTCCTGGATCAACTCCATCCTCAGAGGAGCACCTTCGGTTGCAGCCTGGCCCGTTTCAGGCAGAAGTCTGTTGCATGGAAGCCCAGTGCTCCAACATGGCCCCTGACGAGGCGTCTCTCATCAATCAGCTAATGGAGATGCCTGGATTTATGGACATATTTTCTGACCCAAGTTTTTCCTCACTTCCTTCTGGTTTTGACCAGGGGCCTGAGGCTAGCACCACCTTCACAAACCTGGACATGAACTCTGGTCCATACTTCCAGGACTTTTCTCATTATAATGATTTACAATTTAACATGCTGGTCAATGAGAATCAGACTGCTTCATCTGAGATGGTCCAGGTGAAGACTGAAGATGAGCTATGATGTGACAATCACAAAACTCACACAAACATTACACTCAACTGAGAATTATAGAAAATTGTGCTAGTATCTACAATTATATAGTAGCATCTAAATTACCTGTCAACAAAGATTAACTGGCACTCAACCAGATGAATAGAAAGCACTTTATTGGAGAATTTTGCCTGTATGTATACATGTATGTTTTACCCATTAAACTGCAAGTAGACTTAACTTAAACCTAGCCTTGCTGGTCAAGGTCTTACCAGTCGGCACCGTAACAACATTCCTGTTTAGGATGTTCTGTGTAAGCACAGCTCTCAAGAGTAATCTGAGCAAGACGGACTTTTGGTCAGTATGAGAAATAAAACCCTCTTGATCTGGAAATAACTGTGACAGAAAAACTGGTGTTTGAGGTTTGTTGCCAGGCTGTCTTCAGAAGAATGAGAAGTACATTACAATACAATGAAAAAAATTGTCTTTGCCTTATCACCCTGCAGATGTAAGTGTGCTTTTTGTTTTTTGTGCCTTTTCTAATGAGCTTCAAAGTCACACTTGACTCAATGCTTATTTAAAACAACTCATGTCTTACCTGGTACCGATTATTATTGTATTGTTATTGCTTGTGGTAGAAACACTAGTTCAGCATTTAAATGGAAAACGGTAGTATCTCTTATTGCTTTGTTCTAGTCTGAAACCACAAAACATCAATAAAATGTGTAAACCAGTAAATGTATAATGTACTGTGCTTTCTTTTACATGAATGAAGAGGAACATGAAAGAATATTAACTGACTTCACCTATATCCTACTACCTACCCATGCATTTTAAATTCAGTATGAAAATGAAATATTTCAGTAGGTACAACTGTATCTGTCGCTGTGTCTGAATTTTGAGTTGTCTGTGAGGTGTGAACCTGCCTGGATACCTTCTTTTCTCTCTTTAAGTAAATGGTAACATTCCAGGCAAAGCAATAACATTTAACTGAGGCAACCAGAAAAGTTGCATAGTGCCCTTTTAATTATAGTTCTCATTAAACAGGGGATTTTTGTCTTAAGAGGTGCCAATAGCCTTGAAGTTACTTGTTTGCTGGTGGCCACAGGTATTGTTTTGTCTGTTGGTTGGTTACACCCATGGGACTCCCCTGCACCTGAAGGGATTCCCCATCAAACAGAAACTACATAGGAACAGTGTGTGCACAGAATGAACATTAAATTCAAAATGTTCCAAAGCATTATTTTTTCCAAACTACAGACTTAACTGCTGTAGCTTTATATTATTATTTGCTAAAACTTTAAATTGCACAATAATTATGATTAGCATAAAAAAGTATAATAAATGATGCTCCATCTAGTGGTTGAGTACAACAGTATCAATGCAGGTAATGGGAATTTTTTTCATTTATCCATCTGCAAACAACCCACAAGCAGCAATACATATAGGAGACAGGGTTTAAATAAAAACACATATTTTATTAAATTTGCCACAGCGTATTTACATTTAAATAGTATTTCAATCACCACAAAACACCTGATCATCAATGGTTTGTTACAACTTATCTTTCAGACACAACAGTGTTAAATGTTGATTCAATTCTTCTTTATGAGAAGTGGCTCTGACAGTTTATGAATATGCAGCTCCTCAACCAGTTTGTCCACACTGGTTTTAAATAATGGTTCAGGCTCCTAAAAACAATGAATAGGCCAAAAGATAGGAACAGAAAGTGTATTAGTTAAACAAAATCAATTTAAGTACTTGAAAAAGAATCTGAAGAGAGAGCACCTTGTGCTCCAACTGCCGCTGTTTTTCAACCGCTTCCTCCAGACTCAGGCCCACCCACTCTGCCTCCTCTTCTGGGATCTCAAACTGCTGCTCAACCACAATAGAGAACAACAGTGACTCTACAATTTCTATTCTTGGTATCTTTGTTAGGCATTTTTAAGATCTACTCTAAAAGGCTAAGGTTAATATCCCAACCTTATACTTATTGTACACCCTCTCTCTTGTGTCAGAGTCATGGGGATAAAGCTCTTGATCTTTGCGTGCCAGACGGAGTAACATCGCCCTCTTCAAATCCATACCCAGCTTGGAGTTGAGGTCTTCTTTTGGTGTCTGTACCAAGTAGAATAAGAAAATCATTAAGAGAAATTATGCATGTTTTGTTGAACTGAAAATATTTTGTTTTACCTTGAGAATGTAAAAGTCGAAGCCAAATGCTGCATCAATCAGGTCCAGAGTATGGGCTGTGACTGTAATGGTAAATTTGTGATCAAGGATTTCACTATAAAGCTCCCGTTTGAACAGCTGTGGTTTCCATGTCTTTTTTAAACGATTTGACATCTGCAATAAGACAAAATTCACCAATAACATTAGTTTTAAAAATGTGGGTACATTTTAATAATTAGTTTATTTTGTAGACTTATCACCTTATCATTGTTGGCATATCTGTAGCCTGATATCCAGCCCTCTCCACCCCACAGCCCATCCTGGGATTGAGGAGGATAGTACAGAGGGATTGGGACATCCTGCACTCTTTCTCTTTGGCCCGTCTTTGGGTTGAGCTTATACTCAACACCCAGGGGCCTGAAGTGGACAGGTGTAGGCTCCTTCGGCTCCAAGGACTTGAGGTAATGTTTGGGTAAACGAGCATAAATGCCCTGCTTCAATTTCAGCACATTCCAGATTTTGGGTGGGTATTTATGGAGTGGCATAATCAGCCTATGATTTGTCTGTAGCCAAATCCTACAATAAAATAATAAAAAGTATGAAAGAAACCAGCTTTTAAAAAGTCCAATATTACATAGCAAAGGAGAAAATTCAATTCTGTCATATGGGCAAAGGTTCAGGCAGATATAAGGCAGTGTCCACCAGCAATCTGACCACAACTGAAGAAGCACCTTGGATAAGCTGTGAAACATATTGAATCAAAAAACTGTTGTCCAGTTGATAGAATTAAATTTTCTTTTGCTATGGATCCTACTTGGATGACTGAGGGAAGTCCTATCTTGCGCAAAATTGACTCATCTGAGCTTTACGCCATGTTATATATAATGTTGTTACTTCCTCAAAAACATACCTTTTTTATCAGTCTTTCTATATTTCCAAAGCTCAAAATGCTCTGTTCCACCTTGTGATGTCATGATGTGGTAGTTTTCAAGTTAACAGCTATATTTTACCTTTATGACTTCAGAGATTGGCAATTCCAGGACTGAAATTAAATAATTCTAATCTATGTTAATGGAGTTTAAAAACACAGTAGAGCACATCCTGTATTACCACATGATGTGACAAAGTGGAGTGTTTTCTGTTTGAGAGAAGAACTCAGTCTAAATATGCAGGGTTTATGTGCCAAACATGTGTGAATGAAACCAAACACAATTCCAGGTATGTTTTTCATGAAGAAACAACATTATAACATAGATCGGAAAATAGAGTGATATGGGCCCTTTGACAGAGCTGACTGGTCACTGATACATTCCCCTACCCACTGAAAACTGTTGTATATTGAGTTTGTACTGTTATGGTATTTTCAAGGCATGCAGTCAAAGTCTGAATTGTCAATAAAGAACTTTAACACAATAGTTTTAAGACTGAAAAATACATGGGTACAGAAAAAAGGCACGTGGGAAATGACAAATTGAATAAAAAGGCTACTATAATAATAAAATAAATAAATAAAATAAACGACATAAATAAGACTATATTTCATTACACAGGCTTTAAGAAACCAACAGCATTAGCAGTACAATTTAGCTAACACAATTAACCTAAAAAGAAGAGGGCAAACACATACAACACAAATCTTACCAGAAGTGACACTAGATCATAATTTAAGTGGTGCAGTTTTATCTTTATCCCTCAGTACAATCGTGGCTGAGCTACACAAGGGCACGCACGACTCATGGCACGGCTACGCACACTTCCGCAAATTTTGGCCCGTCTACCACGTGTGACAATTCTGGTCTGTCTATTGGCTCACAGAGCTGTCAATAATCCTAGTCGGATGTAGCTTCTTTGAGGGAAAAATAGTTTATGTAGCCTCCGTAGTCTGTTGGTATTTTAATAGATTCATAGTCGCCATTTGTTGTTTTGTGTTTAATAAAAAATATATTTAATTATAATAAGTTTATTCTAATACCATAGAGAGCATTAATCAATGCAGCGGAGACATTCTGTTCTCCGCCCGAAAGGTGGAATTGAACCACTCTGCCGCTAAGCAGCTACAGGTTTGAAGCCTGCACCCCGGACCACCGAGGCTCATCCGGGCATTTAACAAACGGAAATCAACCAATATATACGACGCGTGAATCCCTACTTTTTCGGTCATGGTACGTTATTTACGTTTACCATATGTTTAACTTGAGAAAGGTTCGTAGACTGATAGCAGCTTTATATTTTCAATCTCAACAAACAGGAATTCAAATCTAAGATGAAATTGTTGTGTTTGCGCTTTCAAAAATGCCTATGCAAAATAGGTCAGCTGTGATTGGTTGGTAAGATAAAGGTAAAGGACAGGTGAACGCTTTACGGAGTCTACTGATTATTAGTTTCTTTTAGCAACAGCAATAACAATATGCTGTAGACGTATATAAACTAATTTATTAATAAATACAATATTAATACTAACAGCATTACTGTTACTTGAAGTAGTCTGACCTAGGCTAATGTTTACAAGAGACTAAGCATAAAAAGGTATGTAAAGTCGCACCTACTATCATTGTGAAAAGGAGAAAAGTGGAGAAGGTGAATATACGTTTTTGTCCTTTCATTTATTCATTAGGGGAATGTACAAATTAGCCTATACTTCCTCATTCAACCAACCACTCATTAGTTCATGGATGATCCCTGACTAAAGGACATTTGCCTACTGACACGCCTACATTGAGCTGTATGTTGTTATAGCCTACTGGACAAATGCAATAGTGAATGCGAGCACAAATTTAACTATTGAGAATATATGCCCCTTTTCATGGGTCTCATCAATATGTGAATTTAAAACATTAATCTTTACAAAGTCTCAATCTCCTTAGTCTCAATCAATAATATTTACCTTCATCCCCTCTATGAAATTACTTATACAGACAATTGGGGGTAATCTGATAACTATAATCAGAAGATATATTAACAAAAATGTTCCCTTAGTCTAATAGTTCAATAGTTAATAAACCTCTTCTTATTAGGAGGCTGCACAAATAAAAAGCACATTTAACTTTGTTTTGTCATCCAGGATATTTTCATGATTGTTCAACACATTACGAGAGTAGCAGTGTTTGGATGTGGACTGTGTTTCTGATCTTGTCAGGGCTCTTCTTTTGTTCTTGCACTCTTCATTTTGTGTTGTTCTTCCAGAAGAGAGCAGCACATGCGACCAGCACAGGCCTCTCCACATGTCAGGCTGCAATGGGGGGTCCCTTGGTCTGTAAACTCAGGCTGAATAGTGCTGCAGGCCACTCCCACACTCTGGAGCACTTTGGTGACCTCCAACATTATATTGGCACACCTGCACAGGATTTTAGAACAAAACCATGGCTCAGAGGAGAACACAACAGATAAAAATGACAGCAGGATTTCAGAATGGTTCCTCACCTGCTTTGTAGAGAGGCGCAGCATTGCACATGGACTGAGGCCACTGTAAAGGACTCTGTGAGGGTCCAAACATGGAGTTCATGCACTGCCTCTACTCCTGGGACAGCCCTGATCTTCTGTTCAACTTCATCGACAGAAGGATGAAGAGGAGCGCACTGTAGGAGCACTCGTCCAAGTCTGAAAACCTGCCCAGCAAAGATATTGTTTCTGAAAATGTTTTCAATTGTTACGTGCATTTTGTGTTCAACAAACTGACCAGTGCTATTGTTTTTGCAATTAGTAAAACAACAGCTAACAATGAAAGCATAGGATCCAAGTAAACCAGAAGGCCACACAGTTTAGAGTTGTGCAGACACATGGAGCCCATGCTCAGTGCAACCAGGCCATTCACCAGAACTAGAACAGGAGTAAGGAGAGTCTCGCTCATGTGCAGCCATGGGGACAACAGGCTCTGTGGAAGCGCCTTGGTTTCTGGTGGTGGTTGTTGAACATCATTTGGAGTTTTGCTGTCTAAAAGAAAACATGTGCTAGTTTACACATTGACTAAGCTACATCATGTAAAATTAAAAATTTCATATATTCAAGTCATACATGAGTAAGTACCACAGGTTCCATTGGTATGATTTTCGGTCACGTCTTCAGAATGGAGGGTATTTGGGTTACTGATGGTCAGAGCTGGACTGAGCAGTGAGCTACATCCTTTGAGTTTGTTGTTGGTGAACACTCCACCCTGCTCAGCCAGGGTCTTTTCTTCTTCAAACATAGCTGTAGCTGTGAAAAACACAGCTGTTGATGGAACTTTTTCTTTAGTTGGACATCGACATAGAAACTGTGTCAATAGCCAAAGTTAACTTAGAAGATTTATTGATGTTAGTTACTGTCTTAACTAGTGCATGGTCAACAGTCTATACAGGCATCATGAAACAGATGCTATATTGAGTGCATGTTACATACACTCCACTTTGTCATGTCATGTGCTACAATAGTAGATTCAATATATATATATATATATATATATATATATATATATATATATATATATATATATATATATATATATATATATATATATATATATATATATATATATATATTTTTTTTTTATGTATATACATATATATATATTATTTTTTTTTTTTACCGTTGTGGTTGATCTCAGTGTGAGAGCTTCTTTTCAGCTCATGATGCCAATGGAGTCCAAGCAGGAACACCTTCAAAGTCAGACTCACTGTACCAGTGGCCACAAGCAGCAGGGGGCGCCGTACTACTGCTGGTTCCAACACAAAACTGCAAATTTCAGTTATGTATATGGTATTTAAACTGAGCAAAAGTAGATTAGAGATGAGCACGCCCACGGGATGTGCTCTCATTGCCCTGTAGTCCACACAGGCCTCGGGGGGTGGAGAAGGAGTGGGTTGCTCCCGGGGTTTGACAGAATCAAAAGTATTTAATATTGGCACATAAAATGTGCTTAGAAGCATGAACAACGTGTGGAAGGCGTCGAGTAAAATGATGGAGGACCTGCCCAGCTGACTGATGACCATCTCACTAAGCAGCAGCACAGTGGTTAACCCGACCTCTGTCCAGGTGCGCCCCCTCATGGTCATTGCTGCGTGGGGAACAGGTGCAGTAAGGCAATATTTTATTTATAAGTTATAGACAACAGATGTGATGTCTTAATTTGTCCAATAAATGTTATTATTTGTTACTACTCTCATCACATTTGCAAATGGTCAATACAGATGGTCCTTTCTTTTCATCTTGATCTTTTTGTATTAGAAATAAATTAGAGATAACGTGTGATATCAAAACAGAAAATTGCCACTGCAGTTGCCTGTATGTCTACAACAAAATAAAAAAAGTGCAAGTCACAAAGATATTAGCAATCAACAATAAGTTAACTGAATAGAAATACTTAGTTTCATCACGATCTCCTCTAACTTGCAGGACAGGTCCTCAAAGTTATCATGATCACAATGTATAGACTGGCAAATTAAACTCTTCGTTACCTATCAAACTCTATCAACGTAATCATTTGTAATTACCTGTTAAATGTGATGAATCCTCCTGATACCAGACACAGTGTGGTTGCTCCTCATCTCCCTCTGCTCAGTGGCCCGTCCTCTTTCAGATCAGAGTCATGTGATGTGTGTGCAGCATCCTCCTGTCTGCTTTTATCCTGTTTGCATTCCCAGCATAAGCCCCATGGTGGGAGAAATACCTCTGAGGAACATCACCCGGCCCACCCACTCTCAGACTGAAGCTAATTCTATCTGATCAGATCCTCATTGTGTTGGCTGAATTACATAATCACCTCACATTATGATGGGAACCCACTAAGCCCTATTAGCAGACCACTGGGAGTGACTCGGGGTCTCTGAACATAAATTTATGTAGAAGTGAAATTAGTATTTGAAAATGTGTTTTATGTAAAACACTGCAACTGGGCAAGGACTACACCACTGCCTCTACTACTACCACCACCACATAGACACAGGCCTATCCAAAAATTGAATGGCTCTTGCCATATACATTATTTTTTTAAATTGTGGATGAAAGAACACATACTTACCATCATTAAACAATGATCCTTATATTATCACAATGCAGCAGCAGTACATCCTTATGAAACACAAATGCTGCTCCTTAAACATTAAATCAGATAGAGAATATTATATATTTTATAATGTTTTAAATGAAGAATATCTTGCATACAAAACTCCCCACATTTTTTTTATTTGACTATTAGGGTGAGCAGGTTTAGTTATCTTGACATTCCTTTTGAGGCTTACTGCCAAAGTCAAAGCTCTGAGCTTCACCCATAGCCCCTCCTTTTCATCGCAGTTCTAAGGCCCTTCATTCTCTCCACGATGGGCTTAGATGACCCTTTGTCCAACATTATTCAACATAATTTACAGTATGGATTTCCCCTTGAACTAAACGGCAGTGGTCACTAATTTTGACCATTGCAAGAAAGCATCACATTTACATTGCGAGTGTTGCTGTAGTTTCATTACACACAGACAGAATCTTTCCACTCATCGTTTAATTTATTCATTTTAATCAAAACTTAGTTTAGAAAAGCTCCATTATATTAAATTATTTTAATACTAATTTAATTTAATTTAATAATATTGGAAAAATTAATGTAAAGTATTGGTGCCTCATCAAACTTTTTTTTAAAGCCTCTTTCATAGAATGGGATTGTGGCCACACTGACTGTAGTACCACACAATGGGCTAAATCAAAATCCTACTTAAAATTTCAGAAGTATCAGGAGCAAAGTTTGTGGCAAATTCATCTTTTATTCATTTTATTTAAGGGTCTAATTGAATTTCAAGTTTTTCTAAACTATAAGTTTTAATTTTCAATAAGAAAACAGTGGTTTGAATATATATGGAAAAAAAGAGTTTTACTTTTTGATTTTAATTATTTAAAAAATGTATTATGCTAATTTTTTGGATAGCACCTCATAACTCAGCAGGAGTTTGGAAGGCAAAAGATGTATATATTATAACAACATTGGACACTGGATGGCAACTGAGCCACTGCTAAACAGAAACAGGAAAAAAGACCTCGTCATAAGATTAGTCCTTACATGCATTTATTGAAGAAGAACAATTTGCCATACATTTCTTTGTGATTACCAGCACATTTCAATTAATTTATCAAATTATTATTTAAAAAAATCTAAAAATTAAAGCATTATAAAGAGTGGGGGCAGCACAATGAAGATGACTTAAGGGCACAGAAAAGTTGGGGCTCTCATACAGTATAGGACAGAGAGCTGGATAGATAAAGTTTAATGCTGAGGCCTTAGGAGACCAGTGCAAATTATAGCACCCCCTTGTGGCCACAAACAAACCCAGCAGTTCAGAAAAGACGATCTATATTTTGTTTTAGAAGTTTCAAAATGTGAAACTTGAACTTGAAAAATGTGTGTTTATTTTGTAACTGCACCCCAAATGCAATCATTAACCATTCAATAATAACCTTTATGTCCAACCCCCAACCCCAGAAAAAGAAAAGAAAAATTCAAAACTAAATGTTCGTTCAAGTTTGAATCTAAAATGGACATCAAAAGGGGGAGAGATTTCAAACCAACCCCCCAAGCAAAAGAATGTGTAAAGGGGAAACAGAGAAGGTCCAAAAAGCTATAAATAAATAAAAATAAATGATTATTTAGTCTCTAAGTAACTCAACAAAAAGTACATTTGCTGTGTTTGGAAGGCAACAGATGAGTTATAACAAAAATAGGATCAATATGACAAGGGCAAGGACAACAAGGATCAAGACACTTTCTCTTTATAATGCCAACAATGACTGAAGAATGAAGCCACAAGATAGAGACGGCTAATATTAAATTGTAAATATCAAAACCAGTTTCTTTCAGAATTTCTATAGCTCTTTAAACATTGGAATTATAGATTGTAACTTTCGAAGCAAATCAAAATGTGAAGTCAGCCGCTAGAAGGCTTGGGGACATTGATTCCTGAGGGGACAAAGTGAGCAGAACACAAAACCTATGCACTCTGGCAAAGGTTCAACAGAAGGGAGACACAGATGGAAATGTGGACATCTAAACAGACAGATCTAAAAAGCCTCTGACAGATACAGCTTTTATCCTGTTTAAAAGACAACAGGTCCATTCTGAGTCCAGCATTCTGCTATATTACGTCAATGACAGCTAAAACATCCTGTAAGAGCAAGTGGTAGTGTGCAAACTGTCTTTGGTTAGTGTTTTGTCCACTTGCACCTTGATGGCTGCTCTTGTTCATCATTGCAGATGGACATGTTTTTTGTCAGTTTTGAGATCTCTTCTTTTGTCTCCAGTGTTTTATTTATAACTGTAGTTTACACTTCGTCAAGCAGTTAGAGTTTGTCATTTCTTGACTTCAGTCCCTTATTGTAGAAGATTTTATTCAGAAAAAAGAATATTTGAAGAACCAGTCACGGCATGGTTACAGCATTGTTCTCTTTCATCCTTATCATCCCTGTGGAAACAAAGTAAAGACAAGAAAAAGGTCAGTTTTCTTTTTGGAAAATGGCAGTATAGATACAGTAATTGTAAATATTAAATGATGCTCAGTGATGCACAATACAACAACACTATACTTCAATTTAAATAAATTGTACAATCTGCCTCTATCTAGTTGTGGCCATATGGAAAAAATAAATATACTATAGTATATTATATACTATACAGTAATTTTCTTGGGGGAAATTTGGTATAAAAATGATTTTTCTTACCTTATAAACTCACGGGGCATCCTTTCCTGTGTCTAAACTGGCTTCTAGTAGCAGCTCTTCCAAGTCCTGTCCACAGCTGACACTTACTGCACAATCACATAAAGTAGCCACGTTATTTTTGAGTACGACCAGTTTAATGTCCATTATGTTCTGACCATAACTCACCGTGCTCCATGACACAGCTGCCAGGTTTGGGGCTGTCAGGATCCAGCAGATGAAGGGAAAACTCAGTCTTCAGACCATTGGGCAAAACAGCAGAGACCTCTTCTTCTCCTGTCAGAGCTTCACTGAAACACTCATCTGCAGAGCTCTCATCTGACCCATCATCAACTTCCTCAGGTGGTGGGTTAGGCTCCTGCATTTCTGGGGCTGGTACCTGCTCTTCACTGGTTTGTACAAGCTCAACCTGCTGTATTTCCTGGTCTTGACTCAGTACCTTAGCATCGGATTCTTGAACGGTCCTCAGTTGACTGTCATCGGATTTCTCTTGCTTGGTCTGTATGACTGGCTGCTGCTGCTCACATTGTCCTTTGTCCTCTGTGAGACTACTAATGGCACTATCCAGTTGCTGTTGTCCACAGGGGGGATCATGTTGGGGGCTTGTAGTGCTCTGTGCTGTGTCTGTGGTCAGTGAAAGTGTTGCTGTGTGCTTTGGTGGGGTATTTGTCCCCTGTGCGCTCTGGTTTAACTCTCTAGTGTTTAAAGTGCTTGGTTTGGTGTCCTCTGTTGGTTGACTGATCAACTCTGACTTCAGTGTGTTGGCTTTAGGTTCATTTAGTGTTGCTACTGGACTCTGCACTGACTTCAAAGCAGAAGTCCTTGTGTTTTCTATGGTTGTAGTTGATGTGTCAGTGTCTGCAGATTTGTTGGAAAGGTTTTCCCTCTTGCTGGTAGCCTGCACTTGCTGTTGCTCAGGAGGGCTCTCGACTCGAGTAACCATGAAGATCTTATGTCCCCGACCTGGACTGGACACTGAAATGCAGCGCCCTGGAGAAGGCGGAGTGCCAGCGGGGACTGCAGCCTTGGTGACAGTGATGTTGGAGATGGTGCTCTGGGATCCTGCAGCAGGGAGAGGGACAGGAGGGGATGATAGGGCAGGAGATGCAGGGGGTGCAGGGGGTGCAGGAGGTGCAGAAAGGGCAGGAGGGGTAGAAGGAGTAGGAGGGGTAGAAGGGGCAGGAGGAGGGGTAAGAGGGGCCGGAGGAACTGATTGGGCAGGAGGAACTGATGGGGCAGAGGAGGGTTTACATAGCACTACCTCCTCCTCATCCTCAGTATCTGAGTCAGAGTCCACAACTGCTGGAGGATTTCCTTTCTCAGTGCTCTCCTCTGATTGCTCTGCTCCATTTTCTGGTTTCTCTTCATCATCATCATCTTCTTTCTTTGGTCCCTCACCTTGGTCCTCTGAATTCTCACCCTGCTCTTCTTCTACTCCAGTGCCATCTTCAGTGGCGATCTCAGCCATACTGGCAGACCTCATCTTCTGCTCATTCTCCTCTTTCTCTTTAGCTAGAATAAAGTTTCTTTTACATCCATTTTGGATCTCTGACAGCAGGGCACGCTGCGTTTCAATGAAGCTTTTTACCTATTTAAACAAAACATAAAAATGCACATGGTAATATTTCAAATATTAAAAAAATATATAGCGAAATAATACTATCAGATCTGCTATTATTTTCTCATGTGCTTTGGTAATCAAACCATGTCAAAACAAAACATGGCAGTTTGAGTAAAAAGGGAAAATAAAAATACAGAGTACTGGGAAGCAGAGCCTATTTCTGCAGAAAAACAATGGACATTTATTTATCTCAAGTAAAAGAAGTGAAGCATTTAGTTCTGAATGAACACATGCATTTTTAGGAGACATCTGCATTTGAATGACACATAATTAGCACTGTGGTCCAATTCCAGACTCTTTAGGATTCAAACAGAATGTAGAAGGGACTGACTGGTTAGGCAAGGGCTCTCATCAATATCATCTTTGCACTTTCTCCTTACGACCTCTTGCATATTGTTGATATATTTTTATTTCTTATTTCTATTGGATTTTATTTTTACTTGTACATATATATTTATATAATTATGCCTTAATTGACACCAGTCTTTTGATATTTTTGCTACTTATTTAGAATTAATTTTTACCATTTATATTTTTTCTCTTTGTTATTATAGTATATTGTGAGTTACTGTATCCAAGTAATTTCCCCTGTGGATCAATAAAGTTTTCTTTGCTAAAGGTGCTTTATACAACAATAGAAGAAACATGTAATGTGCAAAAAGTGCACCTTCCCTCTAATTCTCTGGTAAATGGTCTAATTCTCAACCTCTCACCGTTTCCTTTTTGGGCTCCCGGTCCAGGTCCAGGCGCAGCAGAGAGGTGTTGACTTTTAGAGCAAGCGACAGAGCCATGAGTCCGCCGGTTTTAATCTCATTCTCCCGAAGGTCCAGACGCAGCAGCCTGGGACTCTCTGCGATGAATTCAGCTACAGCTACTGCTCCTGAAAACATAGATAAAAGAGGCTGAAGTAAAGACAGTTAACAGTAGCAAGAGACAAAACGCTTGTACCTTCACAAGACAACTTGGTAGAGGCCAGGCCCAGTCTAAGAACAGAGCGGTTAGCGATCAGTCCATCTTTCAGTTTATGGACACCTTCATTACCCACAGAGTTATGGCCCAGGTTCAGAGTCTCAAGGCTCTGAGTGCATGGCTGAAAAGAAAATATCATTTTGAGAGATCGTACATTCTTGGGCTTAGTAAACACTTTCATATGAATCTAAAAAAACAGTAATAAGTGTGCCTTTAGGTGACAAGAGAGATTTATCAAGAACATTGTAAATGCTACTGATAAGTCATTCTTGTCATGTAATCAATTCTGTGGAGTACAAAGATCTACATTTCAAAGATAAAATATTAGAACTATAAACTTTGCTTTTGAAGACCTAAAAGCAAAGTGGTCATACGGTTCTAAAACTGAAGAACTGCAGTATTAACTCTCCATAATTACCAGCCTAAAAGTCACCCAGCCCTGAGCAGAGCAGCATGACTCAGCTGTATGTATACAAGTCACTAACAATAATAGGACTTTGAGGAAACACAAATTACAACTGTCTGCTTTAAAGTTTCATTCCGCTTCATCAAAACTATTATCTTTGTGCCGTGAGTTCTTTTAAACATTACATTAGTAAGACAAGAGAAATTTCATTGTTTCTAAAGTGAAAAATGCTTCATTTGTGTGGCGCACCAGTGCAGCAGCGAGGTAGCCCATGCCATTGTGGGTGAGCTGGTTGTTCCATAGCACTAAAGTGACAAGCCCTTTCCTCTGTTCTTTGAGTCCTTCACAGATATAGGCCAGACCTGTCAAATGACAAACACATATTTTTGGATACACAAAAAATACATTATGATTTTCAATTATGATTATCAATGAGAAACACATTTTCCAATGTAAAACACTATACATGATAATGGCGCTGTTTACCAGAGTCAAGGATGTGATTATTGCGTAAGTCCAGGATCTGAATATTATAGTTAAACTTGAGCAGGTTTCCGAGCTGAGCAGAGTCCTGGAGGCCGTTGAGCTTGTTGTCTGCAAGGTACAGCTCACGCAAGTTCATGTTCATCTTTAAAGCAGTAGCTAAAAATGAAAAATAAATGATAAGCACAAAAGCTATACAAAAATAACCCATTGTAACTTCAGTCATCTTACCAAGTAACATCAGTGGCCTGCCGGATAACCCCGCATTTTCCAGGTGAAGCACTGCCAGGCTGCCGCTGATCCGGAGCGCTCTGGCAACAAAGGGAGCGGAGTGGTCCAGGAGAGGGGTATTACGGGCATCCAGATACTGTAGAGAGCTCGTCTGAAAGAGAATGTACAGTGATTATAAGATTATAGCTTACATATCCACATTGTGAAATATGTTGTTTAGTTTGAAGTTCACATGGTACTGAATCTTACCTTTCTCATCATGTGAGCAGCAGCCTGCCATCCTCGTGTGCCAATGTGCTTGTTGAAGGAGATATTAAGGTGTGTGGCAGACTCGTAGTACTCAATCATATCGAACAAAGCAGATGCGCCCTAAAAAGGATGATAAGAGGAGATAAGGAATTGTCTGGTAAGAACAAGGGAAAAAAGCCTTAATAGACTAGGGTTTGATTTTATCATTTACCATATAAGGCAAGTTATAAGCAGTCTAACTTGCCTTATATGCACCATTGTGAAGTATTGTTTATTGTTCAGAATATGAACAAGACGCTTGGTTTAGAATGAAATCCTGGTGACTCAGCGACTGAGTCATTCACATTTCCGGGCCTGTAACCCAATGCAAACTGTTTGACTATGTGTGAATTTTGTATTATCTAATCTAATAAGATCACTTTAAAACAATGACAACTGCTCAAGTGATTAAACTTAATAAAACCTATTTTGAGACTGAAAATGCAAAGTTCATGCATAGTACTATATAAATCGTTCTACCCTAACACAGACATCCATAATAGTGTTTACAGAAGAATACAGTGTAATAAAATATGTAGTAATAATTATCCAATGCAGTGTGTTACACTGCGCTTAACATAAGGGACATGTATATTTCTTACATCTTCATCCAGGTTTGTCTGTTCAAGGTCTATCACTTTAAACTGGACCCTTTTCAAGATCTCCTCAAGAACTTCACAAGATTTGTAGTCCAGCTTCTCGCCTGGTAACAAACAAGCAGAAAGTCAATATATTTGTTTTAGGTCAATACATAAACTGTTTCCCGCTTACCTTTTAGATCTAAGCATTCATTTCGCTGTGTCAGATCTTGTAGTTCCTGCAGAAACCAAAAGCACTGAAATCAGTAAAAGTTCAACAGTATACATTTTTCAACTACTTTAGATAATTTTAGCACATTATATTTAACTTGAAAATGTGAATTTAATTAATCCTAGGCCACTTGAGATATGTCAGTATCACAGACTGTATATATCTTTTATACAGTCCATGGTTTGTATATTTACAACAGTAGTGGGCACAAGAAATCCAGCTGTGCACAGAAGAATAAGGCCAAACAGTAGGAACTGTATAGTGATCTTAAAGCAGGCAGGGGTACTTCTGGATTACCACTAGAGGGCGTCAAGGTGAAGGACAAACGTTTAGGGGTATAAATACACTGGATTATGCAATTATCCACAAATCAAATACTACTCCTGTTATATCTTTCCAACCAATATGATACAAATTTAAAAATCTACATTGTTTACATTGAAATTTATACTGCAAGCAAGAATTAAATCAAACAGCATTTTTTTTTTTTTGACAAAGATACCTTTCCTAAGGCCTATAAAAATAGTCATCTGAAATTGCTCAGATGCAGATGAGGCTTTTCTCTCGTATGAATTCATGACATGAAAACAGTGCAGGAAATATGAAAGGCCAAACCTGTCCCTGGTTTTCTGTCTGGTCCATTCACAGTAAACCCTATGACCTTTACCCTCGTGCCACTGTGTATTTACTCTGAGGCTCTGACATTTCCTTCTGACTCCACAGCCATAATGCAACAGTTCTGGTAACTCTTTCCTCAGAGATTAAAATTAATTGAAAGATTCACTTTTTGGTAAAAGTAAATTTGTAAAGTAAATTTGCAAAATCTGTTTTGTTCTAGTAGATGCAGCTACACAATTAGTTTATGACAATCTGCACTTCCAAAAGAAGATCATCATTCAGTCAGACCTTTTATGAACTGATGTGATGTGTAGTAATCACTTGGAGCTTTTCCAGGAGTGAGGCAGAATGAGAAATGTAAATTGAAGACTTGATTTGAGCTGGTAGTGACATAAATGTCTGTGTAGAGCAGGTGGCCTGCCCTCTCTCCCAGTGCACCAGAGCCTTAGGGAGCGCCACACCAGTGACACAGGTTTTCCAAAGGTCCAGGCTTCAGGACTCCCAGAGGAGTCAGTGCATGAGAGCATTCAACACACAGCTTCTAAAGAGCCAGTCACATAAACACAGCCAAACAAGTGGCCAGCTAATACATAACCTGTGGGCTATGGGCTGGCGGGGCGCCACGTGTACAGTGCAGTGGGACTCATAAAGACAGCATTTAGAAAAACTGTAAACGCAGCTTGCCTCGTCGCCCTCTACTTACAGCCATTTGGTATGACTTACTTGTTTGTGGCTGTTAGAGCAGATGACTAAGTAGAAATAAGAAAATGGTGTCAGTGATAGGGGCCACCACGATTATAACTAATTGTGACATAAATTTGTTACTGTAAATGTCTTTATACTGGATGATAATTGCATTAAATGAACAATATTAAAGTTCAAATCTCAATGAGCCACAAAAAATTTTGAGATGTTTCCAGATATTCTGGAAACCTGCACTAAATATTTCGTACTGCATACAGACTGAGGTCTGTCTGGACCCCACACCCTCCACTGCATATCTAGCCCGACCAAACATGACCATGCAATCAGATGTATTGTCTTCAGTGATACGTGACACAGAGGAACACATTGGTCAATTATGATTTACAAATAAAATCAAATTGATCTCACTTCAGATTAACAGAGTTTAGTGCTTTGCTCATTCTGTAGAAATCTGAGATGTTTTACAGTCCCCTGTGATATTAATTTCTTTTCCTTTATTTTTTCTGATATGAAACATGCATGTCCGCGGCTAATCCAATTCTCAATCTCACTTATCTGAAAACACTGAGATTCACCAGTGGCCAGACTCACTTCGTTAAGTATTAAAAAATGCGTATTCTAGAGCCCAGGAAGGCAAAAAGGTGCCCATGTCAAAATTAAGTCCCCCCCCAAAATACTATACCAGCGTTCATTTATTGAACAAGTCGCTATAGCAATTATTGTGACAGGCCAGAAGAAAGTATAAAAAGGCCTAAAGTTGATAGTAGAGGTGAGATCGGGCCTAAAAAATCCAGCCCGACCCGACCCGGCCCGGCCCGCGGGTATTAAAACCCGACCCGGCCCGAGCCCGACCAATTAACTTGATTTGCAGGCCCGAGCCCGAAGCAAACCCGAAATGTCATATTTTATTTGTGAGGACTCGGGAGGAGGAGCAGTGCTCCGCGTCGAGGTGCCAGTCTTTTTGCTCTCGTATGAAAGCAAAGCGCCACATTGACGACATTCAGCGAAGCCAACGCAAGTTTCTGTAGCATTTTCAACAATCAATTTGAAGCTTTTCCACACCTCACTCTTACCGGTGCGTGTTTGTCTTTTCAGTTCTCCTGCCTTTAGTTTAACTTCTTGCTCCTCCATATTGGGGATACCAGGTCAAAATAGATGCAGACTTGCGGAGGGGAAGATTATTAAATTAAGAGGGGGCGTTCACGTGCGCAGAGCTCTGGCTCTGCGGATCCTGTTTAGTAGTTAAATAGCAATTACATTACATTACTTCTCTGTTTTATCCATATTATTTATTTTATAACAAGTATTCCTTAGTTTAGTATCCACACATCGTTTTAGCATACATTTTATAAACATATATTTATTTGAAGCCCGAGTGGGTCGGGCTTGGGCTCGGTCTTAAGATCTTACCTCTAGTTGATAGGTGTAAATGCACTGAACATGTAGACTACAGAGGTTTAACACATCCACAGTGAACCTCCCCATTGTCTTTTGACTTACGGTAGGTTTAATACCTTGTCCCTAATCTCAATCATGATGCAGTCCAGGTTTTTCACACTGTGGGAGCATCTTTCACAGGGAAATAAGCAGGTAATAATACAGTTTCCACATGCATAGTAACTATTGTATGTATTTTGCACTTGTGGGAAAATTATGAAATGGTGAGAATAGAGAAAAACAGCGCAAAGACTATGTTGTACTGGAGGCAGTGCTCACACAGAGGGATTACTTAGCACATGACTATTCTGGCTCAATGGTTGAAAGCACAATAACAGAGAAACCTGATGGGAAAAGATGCAACGTTTATGTGATAAAGCATTTCTATGTACGGTATAGTTATAACAATTCCGGAGCAAAACTGACTACAACATGTTAGTATCACTGTACCCCTTCCCTCTTAACTCTGTCACAACTAGTATCTTGTACAGTTATGCATGGAATTTTATAACAAATTTCAGTTGAAAGCGCTGGTTGTGCAACAAGACAAAGCCTGTACAAAGACATTACCTTGGACACTGCATAGAATTACCTGAATCTGTTTGAGCACTTTGGGCAGAGGTTTACAGTTGAGTTTCTGACAGGCCAGTTTGTACGCAGACAGGATCTCCTCCACGGTCACATTCTGAGCTGCAAAACACAAAACAGGGGTGAGGCCTTTATTTTGAAAATCACAAATCACAGGTGAATTTTATTAAGTAATTTAAATCTTTAATGTAAGGTAATAACAGCCATTATTGAGGTTAGGAAAGGGTACTCCCTTGAGTTCACTAAAAGAGCATATTGTTGTGCCTTTGCCATCCTTGTGCTGCAGGGCCTAACTTCTGTCAGATGACTGGACACTTTGGGCTCAGAGACTTAATGGAGACGTAAAGTTAGGTGCATGACTTCTCACAATAGAGATGTACAGTGGTTTTATTATCAAAGCTCATTCCATTGGCATTTAGTTTAAAAAATGAAATTATACATAACAGGTTAAAGTACAACAGCTACTGTACACCAAAATGAGCAGAAAACCTCTGGGGAAAGCCTTATGCCATCCACTGGTAAAATGGAGCAATCTGAAATCTGAAGTCCTACAGGTAGAAGATATAAAGAAAATGCCAAAAAATGGGTATGGGCCTGTCATAATCATAGCTATATATCGACTTGTTCCTGAATAGAAAAGAAAAAGTTGAAACCATTATTTTTTGAAGGGCTCAATATTTATCGTGTATACACACGCATGCGCACACACACCAAAAACTTTTTCTGTTATCTTGTCACTGTATATTATCAAATAAATATCACCTATGGCTCATTAATTAACTAATTAAGTACTTAGTTGTTTCATTCTGCCATTTATTTTTTTGCAACTCATGTTTTTATTCTACTGTTAGTTTATAAAAATTTTATACAAGTATATTGTTTATGGTTATTGTTTCAATGCCATGAAGTACTTTCAATATTATAATATTCAACTTCCACAAAACGTGTTCTCATGCCTGACCTGGTAAAATCTCTCAAAAGAACAAAATATCTCTGCTAAGAATGTATCTGATCCAAACAGCACACAAGATCACAGGAGTTACACAGAAAAGTATTAATAAACTCCTAAAAAGCTAAATAAACAAAACAGTCGCTTCCAAAACTACAGCTGACTCACTATGTGCTTTCCACTTTCTACTGTCCTCCATAAATGATTAAATCTACAATCTGTATATGTTTTGTGCAGTGACGTATTGCTATAATGCACAAACAAAAACACAAGTCCAAGTCTTATTTTCCATAAGATCAGAAACTCTGTCTGAGATGATATGGCTTTAAGACTTTAAGTCTTAAAGTCTTAAGACAGAATTAAATTACATTTGATCTAATCTAATCAAAAGGGTGGGTGAGTTGAATGTAGGGGTGTAATGATACTTTGTTTAATAAACATATGTACATATCTATTCTCAGGCTCTTTGGACTAAAGAAATGGAATTGGTGGCAAACTTGTGAATAAACCCTAAATGTGTGCATTTCCAATATTTTGGCAGGCAGCCTGGACAGTACAGTGTGTGCATTTGAACACCGTGTCCTTGGAAAGTGTTATTGTACAGAGTTGCTGTGGTGCAAGTTTGTAAACATTTCCTGAGGGAAGGTGGTTTGGGGGTAGGGGGGATAGAAAGACAGGTCCTTACACGAGATTTGAATGTGTACATAGATGGTGATTCATTTAAAAAGAAATTTTAAGAGAAGAAAGAGCATGTTCAGTAAAGTATCTGTATTTGAGATTTTGGCTGAATACAGTAAAGAGGAGGAAATGAAAGGCAGTTAATAGTACCAATTGGTAGAGTACTGGGCCATGGTCTGCAGCAGAGCTTGTGCTTATTCTCTTCTGTGTCGTTGCACAGCCTGCTGCTGCTCACACATGTACAATGGGAGGAGCAAAGGGTGGCAGGCAAAAGGGCGGCAATAAGGGAGTGGAGGAAGTAGAATGGTCTGAACAGGTTCAGACTAATTACAAACATGACCATGACATGAAAACTCAGTTTTACTGAGGATATATAGCTGTACCACAGAGTAAAAATTGACTGCTTTGGCAGCGACCCACTCCAGAAAATGTCAGATATTTTTTGTAAAATGCTTAATCAAATCAAATCTAATTTGGTGATATTATACTGGAATGAATTAAGTTAGGAAGGATCATACAGATGTTACCTGAAAAGCAAAAATCTGTAGCTTGGCCTTAGGCAGATCTCTCAAGAAGGGGGGCAAACATTCTGGAGATATGACATGTAAATGCAGCCAACTCCTATTTAACATGCAAGTGTCAGAGCCTAAAATACCCGAGGCTCATTTCAGGCCCTATTCTCTGCCATTTCACACTGTAGTGTTTGGACAGTGACGGCAGCGTCATTCACACAGGACAGCTGACTGTCAGAGAGGGACCAGGCTCTGTTCATCTGCTCGGTCAAGATGCAACTAAATGCAATGGCTACAGTAAATCTGTAGCATCTACTCTAATATCAACTAATGAAAAGAATAAGTCTGCATTTTGCTTATAT